AAGGTGACAAGTGCAGCAGCAGGAGGTGTCTCCCTGTGACATCGCCCTGCGGAGAGAGGGTGGAGATGAACACTCGTGGACATGGCAAGAAGTGACCTCATTCTGGGCAGAGGATGCTGATGGCAGCTGCAACACTCCTGGCACTGCATACCAGCGTGAGAGAGTAGTTAAGGGGCAGACACCTTGAGCTGCCCTTACCCGGTCTAGGGGTGGGGTAAGGTGGAGTAGATTTTTTGGGATGAGCTAGAGTTGGGGTTGCACCATGTAAGTTCAAGGTGCCGGTGACTGAGAGACCAAATGCAGATGCCTACTTGACAGCTGGACATTGACTCTGGCACTAGGAAGGGTTTGGAAGGGACGAACACCTTTGGGAGCAATTGACATGTGGGTAAATCTGAAGCCATGAGCCTGGATGAGATTATGAGCGAGGAAGTGTGGGCAGAGAGACGAGGCCAAGCTGAGAACTGATGGAATCAGAGAAAACCAGGAGGTCATGGAGCCCTGGAAGACCCCCCAGAGGGGAGAGAGGAACAGGTCACAGAAAGGCATTCTTGCCCACCCCCATAAGGGCAGGGATTTAAAATAAATAATAAAACCAAAACCGGTTTCTGTTCACTGCTGTTTTTCTAGCACAGAGGGTAGGTGCTAAATAATACTTATTAAATTAGCATGTGAATCCACACTGCTGCAGGTGCCCAGTACACAGGCTGCAACACTGATCTCCCCCTTCAAGGAGCTGAGAGTTGGGGCCAGCAGATGGTGTGGTAGTTAAGGTGCTGGACTCCCACATGTTCCCCTCCTTGGTTTGAGTCCCAGACCTGGCAGCTTGAAAATCACACTGGGCGCATGTACATGCCTGCTCAAAATCCTGAGAGGAGAACGGAAGAGAAGGGATTGGAGTGGGGCCATCCCTCTGGCAAGCACACAAAAATCTAAACAAAAACAAAACAAAAAAGTCCCAAGAGCGGGAGGCTGTGCCCACTCTGTGGTACCCACTCCCTTCCTTGCTAATACCTCCATTCACTCAGATGGTGATGCAGGACGTTGGGGCAATCAGGCCCAACACCAGTGCCAAATACAGGATTGCCCAATGACTGGGTTCTTTGTCTCATGCTCGTGAAGAAATAGAGATGCAGACACAGAAAAGGGATAGTAAAGTGAAGTTTATCAAGAGGAGAGGAGGGGACCAGCAGATGGTATAGCATTTACACTGTTGGACTCCCACATGACCTACTGTAGTTCGAGTCCCAGACCTGGTGGTTTGAAAGCATGCTGCGTGCATGCCCAAGATCCCAGGAGGAGAAGGGATTGTGGTGTGGCCACTCGCCCCCCTCCCCCAGGGGTGATTTCTCATTTTCCCTCTCACTGTGTCTGTCTCCCTTTCTCTCCTGTGAGCACACACACCGTAAGACAAAAACCTCTTTAAAAAGAGCAGACAAGAGAAAAATCTCTCCAAAAAAAAAAAAAAAAAGAGCAGACAAGAAACAAAGCTCCCAACCTGGGAGGGGCCCCAGAAAATAGGTTGATAAAGAGTTGAAGTGAGGGGGTTTTATTCCAACAAGGAGGGACTCATGTGTGTATTTTCCTCATGGGGACAATGTGTAAGGTGACTTATTTGGGGTTGGGCTCACAAAATAGAAACGTTTAGACATTCAGACCTCAATTAACATTCAACAGATTTTCGTCTGAGATCTGTGGCCCGTGAAGTTTCTAGTTTTTATCATGTTTTCTACAAATCATAAGAGTAGGCTTTGTTCTTTCATGTATTTTCCCCTGGCAGTTCTAAAATGTAATCTCAGACTCCCTTATCGATTTCTCAAATGATAGTTTGTGGCAAGTTATTGCTCAAGGTCCTTTGCTCTCCAGACTAGGAGAGAGTACACTCTTCCTTCGGAATGTTATGAAAAATGCTAGCTTCAGTTGTCATTATCTTAAGCAGGTTGCAAGCAGCTTTCTGTGGAAGCAAGTAGCGAGAGCTAATCATGGATTTTTAGCTAGAGCAGCAAATAATTTCTATTAAAAGATTGACCAAGGTGACTCCATCTTGTAAGCTGGCTCTATTTTATAGAACTATGCCTTAACTATTTGTGTGTGTGCCTATCCCCTACCTCAGTGGGATCCCTTCTGGCCAACATCAGACCCAGGACAAACAGCTAGTCCTATGATGTGGACCTGGGACCTGGGTCAGGAACTTGTCATCCACTGGTCCACAGAGGACTCTACAGCTACTCCTTTGTCCACCCTCTGTGCTATCTAGCACTTGTCCACCTATCTACACGTACTCATCTGTCCACCTGTCTATTCAGTCATTTCTCAGTCCATTGTCCATAGTCACTCTCTGACCATCTTTCTGTCCATTCTCATCCAGTCTTGTTTCTACACATCCGCTACGGGGACCAGCTTCCCGTGGCAATCTAGCTGTGGACTGTCTCTGTTAGCACTGAAATTCCTGCATTCTGGGGAAACTCGATCTCAGGCAAACCAGGACGCTGGTCGATCTGTCTATCTGCCAGGCATCCTGCAGTCCACACACCTGCCGGGGCGTCGTTGTACCCACCCCACCTTCCCTCTGAGCGGCGGCCCACTCAGTCTAGTAGGACACAAGGCTCCGCCCCCTTTGACCACGCCCACGCACCACGCCCCCTCCGGAAGTGGCCCCGCGAATCCCGGCGCCCTAGCAACAGCGCCTTTCAGGCCGTCCAGTCCGCGTGCGCGGCTTCAGGTGGGAGCCAATAGCGAGGGACTCCCGGAGCGAGGCGCGGGGGGCGGGGCTCGGCGCCGCC